AGCTTTGGTAGCTTTATAGTTAGTGTTTTGGGATTCAATTTAACTGTCTTTGAAGATTATTATGAAGCTTGTGTGATTACTTAGATGGTTAAGTTCAGTTCTTTGTACATCTGATTACACTTTGATTGAATCTTAGCATAACTATGCAAGGGTGTGTTTAGCTATGTGTAAATCCTTCTTTAAACATCTAGAAAGTGGTGGGTTTAGTCGATTGCTTTGTATACATTTTACTCGAACATTTGCCTTTAAGCCATATACACATTCATGAATCCTTTGCGATATGTCTGACTCGGTCTGTTTGTTTGGTTGTGAACTTGTGATGTTTAAAGCTTCCCTTTTGGAGATGAGTTAGGACTTGTGTGGTTTTCTCTTAATGAAAATGCTTTCTCTGTTTGTAGAGCTGCCCGCGAAAAGAAAGAGAGGCGCAAGCGTTTGGCAGAGAAATTAACGCCACGGAAATCACGGAAGGTTGAAACATTCGAAGATGTAGAAGAACAAGAACCCGAAGAACAAGAACAACCCGAGGAGGAAGACTCTGAGTCTCTTGCAAAGAAGGGATTCCTTTCCCAAAACATCATCGACTTTCTTGCAAAGGGACAAAAGTAGTAAAACTTAATATCACAGTTTCTTTATTCATAAACACTTTCAACTAGAAAGAATGACTGAAGATTGTCAATTTCTCTCATTCACAGAAAAAAATTCGCTTCGGATTCTGAAGAAGAGGAGGTCAAAGAAGAAATCCCAAGAAAGAAAAAAGAAAAAAGCTCAGGGTAACGATCATCTTTTGTTGGCTTACATATTTATAGGATCACCCTCTGATTTGGTCTGATTAAGTCTCCTCCTCTCTCTATTACCGGTGTGTGCAGGATTGAAACGGTTATTTACAGGGAGATTCCACCACCGGCATGCACAGAAGGCGCGTCAGATTTCTTGAAGAAGAGGAAAGCGCAAGTCCCTAGATCGTCCTCAGTCCTCAAGAAGTCCGGTCAAGCTGTCACCGGTGCTGCTTTAGCCAACAAGCGGCTACAGAGAAAATGAAACTCTTAAGATCCAAAATCCATGTGTGCTCAATTCCATTACACCAATGTTTTAGTTGCATTAAATCAGCTTCTTTTGCAACTTCTACTATATGTATTAGATAATTACAATTTTGCTTAATGGCTCTTAATCCGATCAAATTATATTATATCAATCAATGTTTTGTCGAAGAAGATTTGAGGAACACAGAGAATCTGACAAGATCAAAGGTTACCGCAAAGAAGTCATATAATCTAAAAGTGTATATATATTGATCTGAATCAGTTTTTGGAGGAACGGAGAGAACAAATGCTACAAGTTTCTGAAAATCTCAGAAACTGTATTCTC